GCTTCGATGCCTTCAGCACAGGATGCCGTTCTGAATTCGGTTCCAGGCTTCACCTGCCGCCGAATCCCGACTGTGGATGCGGATCTCTTTCAACGGCAGTGTCTCAACGGCAGCTTCCTCTGAGGCTTTCGTCGCATTTGGCAGCACAGAGACTTGCCTTTGTGCGATGCTGAAGGGAGATTCCGCAAGTTTGGCCGTGACATCCGGTAAACAGCTGCACCAAAGCAAGGCCTGTGAACAGGGCCATCCGAACGATCACCTGCAATGCCTATTGGGCTCTTGTTGGAGGTGAGGCTATTGGATGAATCGCGCTTCTATGTGCTGCACTGAAGAACTCCGCCCTGGAAGAGCCCTCACCGGTGGCATCTCAGATTCTCAGATAGGAGACTTCCTGCAAATTCATTCCGAACATCGATTCGCATGTTTCCGCCAGCGAGGCATCTTGCATTCCATCTGGCAGAGCGAGACATCCTGAGCCTGAACTCGATACCACTTCAAGATCTTCTTCTGCCTTTCCTTGCCTTCTGTGGCATAGGCCAGCACTTTGCAGGGCAGACCCGCAAGCAAGGACATCCGCGGAAAAGCCTTGACGAATGGCATCTGTGAATTTACGCAAACTCCCCCTGTGGCGCCCTGAGAACTTGCCTCAGGAATCGAGAAATCTCAACATATTTCCGGCGCCACTGTGTTGGCAGAGCTAGCGCGATGAGGCCAGACGCAGGGCCTGGAACGGGCTATGCTGGGCTATGGCGCTGCAGCGGCCATGCCAGAGTCCTGGACATGGTGGCTTAGAGCCGGGACGTCTCCCTCGAAGAGCTGCTGGGCTGTAAGCGGAGCCCATCCTTCAGGGGAGCTTCTGTATCACGTGAGTAAATCGGAAACTTCTGCAGTGGAATTCGCTGTCTCACTGAAGCGGGTCCATGAATATCCGTGGCCCCGGTCCCTACATACAGGAAGGTTCAGAAGAAGCTGCAGCCTGCACTTTTGAAGCACCAGTCTTGCCATCGGTCGAACAGGTGGCTGCAAGCTTTCTTCTCACCGGTGGCATCTCAGATTCT